TTATTTAATAATACAGCACTTGTAAACTAATTGTGCAAAATAATATTTTTAATGGAATTTTCGAGGACCTCTAAGGGATGTCAAATATGAAGCTTGGCATTAATTAAAAGTAAAAGAAAAATCATGTGCCTATATTGTTTTCAGCTCGGTTTCAATAAGTATTCGATCCTTGAAAATACGAAAATTACTTTTCACTTTGTTACATATACAAATAAGAAAAATCAAATCGATGATTTTCTGTAGAATCTTACTTTCATTTACAACTTTAAGAGAAACACAGAATTCCATTAAAAGGTGAGTCAACTGATAGAAGTTGCCACATCAAAAATTTCATTCAAAACTTTCGATATAGCAATCACGCAATACTTTTAATTGTGACGACTTTATTACTATGGTAACCGATTAAAAACATGTAAAGCACGGGTAAATTGAAGTATCGGAGATTTAAAATAGACCGCAGAAATGTAATTTACTTGACCGCTTTTAAATTTGTCGAGTGTGTTGCCAGGTAACGCAATATAAATGATTAATTAATTAATGCAGATAGGGAGTGATATTAATTCTAGTTTAATTCAAATACCTTTAGTAGAAAGCAGATTTCTTGCAGATGTTATCATTTTTATATGTTACTCTCTTTTCTCTAAAACTTCCATTAAACATTTGAAAAAAATTAGTTTGTTTAAAGTAACATATATTTAATTTTAATCGATTAATTAATTGTTATTAATATGTCATATTTAGAAGTAAAGTGTGGCCACGGTAGCCTAGTGGACATAGACTCATAGTCGACGTGTTATAAGTTCAAGCCTGTACCTTTGAACATCCACAGTGCAGAGGGAGTCGATGCACGTTAAATATGTCGTCGTCAAATATAGTGTAGTGGAGAAAAGGGGTGTCAGATCAGGTTTCGTCCTCGCCACTTGATTGTGGTTGAAAACTATGGAGTCCGTTACCAGTAGCCATCATGTTTTTTTTTTTCGTGCGGCGTCAATAAGTGGCTGCGTTAGCCAAGTGGTTAAGGTATCGGATCATGGCAGGCATGTCATGAGTTCGATCCCAGTACCGCTAAAGAACCGCCGTGTAGTGATGCACGTTAAATCTGTCGAGAGTTCAAACGTCCTCCCGTTAGTGTGGTGTGTTAGTTAGGAGAGGTGGTGCCAGCTTAGGTGTCGTCTTCGTCACTTGATGATGGTTCAAAAGCCCGCGTGTAGCTGAACAATGCGACGTTAATATTCAATCAATAAATCAAGCTGCCTCAATCAACAATCACGTACTCATTACAGCAACGCAAGGGATATTGGCGATGTACCCTGCATTTTAAAACCACGGTTAAGTAACGAGACGATAGCTGAGCTGATACCCCGCCAACCACGGCAGATCATCAGGACCTCTACACGGTGGGTCTTAAATGGCATAAAGACTCGAACTCGTGACTCCCCCCCCCCCCCGGCCACGACTTTGTGTCTACGACCATTAGGCTACCTAGGCCATCCCATTTAGAAGTAATCCGAGGGTTTACGATGGCGGACTTCGTAAGTCTTATATCTACGGTAAATTGGCTAGACACGGCAGTTGAGCTAGCATTCCATTCTCCAATCTTCCACTCCTCTGCAATCTGAGAATTTTGAGCTTCACCATATTTGACGTGCATCAATCATTCTGCACAAGGGGTGTTTAGTTGTGTCAGGACTTGGGGGGGGGGGACAACCTAAAATTGTTTTTAATATTTCGGAAAAAATATTCGATTTAACACATAGAATCGAATATAGATTGGGATATAAAAGCTAATTTTCTGAAGAAAGATTACTTCATTTTGAATCACATATAATTAATTATAAGGTAGCAGAGGAATTAAATAGATTCTTTGCCATCTATTTTAATGTGACACCATGTGCACAATTTTTTGCAGGCACTCAACTTGTTCTTCTTAACATTTCATTTACACGATTTCCATTTTGTTGGAAATTTTGAAAACGACCTCCCATCACTGAAAAAAATTCTTTGTTAATAAAATCTATTCAAAGAAATGTTCCTAATGGAATGGGAAAAGTTTATTTCAGGTAAGCATTGTTAAGTTTTACTTAATTATGAATTAAATTTATTTTTACTCAATTTAGTCGCATTTAGTAAATCACCATCTTTACCCATTCACATGACAATTACGTTACCCATTCACAGACTGAATTTGTTTTTTTATCAATGAAATGAAAGAGTGCAAGGATGAAAATAAAGTTATTAGCGTCTCACACTAACATCTTAATGGATTTAAACTTTCTCATTTAATTAAAGAATTTTTATCCTTATTTGTAGACTGCTTAGTTCAATATTTAAATAAAATGGCAAAATTTTAAAGCTTAATAATTGTACTTAATTGCTCATTTTTTATGCAAATATGGTGAAATATACCCCTTCATTTTATTTACCAGTTTATATAGAAGAGACATTATATTTTAAATTATTTTTTAAATAAATAATCATATGTGTTTCAGAATAACTCAGTTATAAAATCAATCCAATCATATATTCCAAATTTAAGTGTATAGCCCACCAGAATATCAATGATATAATGGTATTCATTGTAGAGGCTCCCTAGGTTAGTGTTACAGGCATGAGCGAACCACTTTGATTCGCTTTCTCAATGAATATCTTTGGTTCAGGGACGTCTTAAGACAGTGGTGCCCAACCCCTGGTCCTCGGACCTGTACCGGGCCGTGAAACAAATGGTACCAAACCCCCAGGAAGCATCAAATTATTTTCATTTTATTTACTGTGGTGTATTTCTCTCGGTACTGTGCGACTTTCCGTGGAAATCACTTTATATTCATTTTTTGGTGTTATTTTATTCTGAAGTCATATTTAAATACAATTAAATTAATTACATGAAAACGATCTAAAATATAAGCAATCAACGTCCGCCCTCTCTCTGTGGGCCGTGGTAAAAATATCAAACGCTGACCGGTCCCCGGTGATAAAAAGGTAGGGAAACACTGTCTTAAAGCATCGGCTTGCGCTTCGGGGGTGAGTTGGGGTTGTCTTGCTCTAGATTCAACCGCTATAATATCATGATCCGAATAATTTTAATCATCAGAGGCCATATTCTTCGAATAACTGGAAATTTCAAACTATATGCTATCTTGCAACAGTGGCAAGACTGCATCTTTATGTCATGTCCGTCGTCGGTATCTAGGCCCTAGGTCTACAACCATACACCATCATTACTCATCATTTATGTTAGACGCTTATTTATGACGTCATTGTTTGTGTGAGTATCTGACAGTGTACGTTATAGGCTGTATATTTAATAGGTTGCAAATGGGAGCTTTTGCACAGGGGACCAAAGCCTCAAGAAATCTTAAAAAGTCACAAACTTCGGTCTATGAAACTCCAATGTAATCAAATCTTTTAGTATCTAAAATATGTGTATTATTAGCCAACCCTTCTCTAATAGAACCTACTCTGATTGTTTTTTCTTTCACCTCAACTAAATTGTATGGGAGGGGACACGGTAACCTAGGGGTTATAGTCATGAATGCATGTCCAGCGTGTCGCGGGCTCGAATCTTGGCACCAATGAAGACCCACTATGTAGAGGAGGCTGATGTACTTTAAATCTGTCGATCTCGAAGTCTTCTCGTTGAGAGTGAGGAAGCTCGGTAAGGTGGTGCCATTCAGGCAGTGGAGTAACGGAGAATATTAGCCCCCTCCCCCTTCAAAGTAAAGTTTTGGGCTTCAAGACTTACTTGGGCCCCTTAGAATCCTGGCCCCCTCTCCGATACCGGGGTGTACGTTACGCTACTGAATTCAGGTGTTGTCACTACACCGAAGTTCAAAATCATGAGGTCCGTATCTCACGTAAAATTGTTTTTTTTTTTTTACAGATAAAAGTACTGCGCAGAGAAACAAACCTTAAGACCTCAGCTTTTTTTTAAAGCCTCTTCAACTTTAAAACAGATAAATCTTTTCCTTCTTTTACTACTCTTCGAAATATCAAGCATAATCTATTCATGAAATTCCAATTTACAAGTTATAAAAAAATGTATGGAATGATGGCATGATGTGATTAAGTATGTGTGTGGGTAGGCGCCGCACCAGCGAAATTGAATGTTCAACGAAAACAGAAAGATAATAGTGTGGTGTGAGGTGTTTGAATAAAATTGCTAGGCAGTTAAGCTACAATCATGTCTCTTTGACAACATTTTTTTGTGTGTGGGAATCTGCGATTGCGTCTTACGTTCTATAAAAAGCCTATTCGGTCCACTTTGCGAACCAAAATACCGGAAGAAAGAAATTGAAATGAATAGAACAATTTCTAAAAATGGAAGATTCTATTCAGACAATCTAATATAGTCTAAATTTCTCTATAATCTCTTCCAGTATAATATAACAGAAGCGGTATTTATGCATTAAGTTTCTTGTATATAAGTATCACTAATGTATGGATAGTTAATGGAAGTAAATTGACTAAGTTATAAACGCTATCATAGTAATACATGGAAATTAATCTGAAAATGTCAAGTTATCCGTATATAATTAATTTGAAATCTGATTCCCATGTAAAATAAATAAAATACGTTCCTGAAAATTCTGTAGGCTGGGGTATGGTCATGAACTTCTGGCCGGCATTGTTTCTGTTAAGTCCTACTGTTACTGAAAATACGCCGAAGTTGAAAGTCTTCACGTTGACGTGGTGTTGAAGTGCAGTGAGTGGGGTGTCAACTCGTATGCCATCCTCGTTATTTGACTGTATTTCAAAATTATGAGGTCCATCTTCAATTACTTTAGTCTGACCTCAGAATGCATCGTTAATGAATAATTAATCTGAATATTTTGGATATAACATTAATATATTTCTTTTCAAATGGGGATATGGATTGGTATTTTAAGATTGCATTCCTAGTACATTTACCGGGTGCTGGTATCACTTTTAAGTGAGACATCATACAGGTAGATCTAATTGCCACACTGTAATTTTGATGCCAGGTTTCCTCTATAGAGGGTGGGTCGTGGTAGCTTAGTGGTCAAGGCAACGGACTAGTGATCGGTGTATCATAAGTTCGAGACTTGTACCACTGAAGATCCACTGTGTAGGCGGGAGGGAGGCAAAGCACGGTAAATCTGTCAAAGCTCAAACGTCCTACCGTTGGTGTGTTGTGAAAGTTAGGAGAGGGGTGCCAGCTCTCTCTCTCTCTCACACACACACAGTTGTCGTCCTCGTCCAGACTTGATCATGGTTTAAAATTACGAGGTCCGTCGCCAAAAGCTATCTGAATAGTGCGACGTTAATATTCACTCATTCATCCCCCCTAGAGGGAGAAATCTGAGCTCTGACGATGCGAAATCGTTCTAGGAATTAAATTTTACTGAGAGCACCAAAACCAAACAGGCACTCCAGAGATCTTTAACATGTCGTGCAATCAGGCGACATTGACACTGTTGATTTTCGGCATCATAAAAACCCATCATCTTGGGCTGGGGTCGAACCCGCAAACTTGGCCGTACAAGGCCAGCGCCAAACCATTTAAGCCACTCAACTGGCAATATAGCGAAAGCTAAAATGATATATATTTTTTTGGAAAAATGTTTTGAAAATGGTCTAGGGTAGAGGGTGGCCAACCCATATGACCTAGCGGGCCACTTCGGAAAAACATTACAGTCCCGCGCGGGCCGCATATAATAACAGATGATGTTACATTGATCGGGGTTCAAAGATTTTATGTATATCAGTCGCCAAGAACAAGACAGTGATTTAGGGGCGATGAAAATTGATTGTCGAAAAAACAATCCTTGAAATGCAGGACTCAGAAGAAAAATTCACAAAATATATATCAGAAGGTCTTCACACCTTCTACAGCGCCCAGACACTACTATCAGTGTCTAAAATACACGTATGTAAAATATTATTCACAAGAACCGCTCGTCCTATTCAACAGCCGAGCTAATCACTAGTCGTCTTTTCACGGTCAAGGCAAGACTACTAATCGCTAGTCAAAACAATACTAATTCAGTTTCGGTGAATGTCTCCTTATTTATAGGCCTCGCGGATCCTTCGAGAAAGATCTGCTTGCGTCAGGGATCGTGAAATTAGTAGATTTCTCCATTAATTTCTAGAAGAATCCATACAGTCATGAACTCGCCAAAAATGGTCGTCAAAATGGTCACCAAAAATGATGCCAACCTGGCTCGATCTCCAAGATTTTACCAAGTTCTCTTTGAATCGTCATTATAACGTAAGGAACGGCGTTGCTTGCGAATATATTACAATGTTAACATAAAATAAATATAACGTAGAGCAATATAAAGGCATTACACATCCAAATACAAATTATTTATACTATTTTACACTTAATTCATAACACTATCTTTATTTTAGTTTTGTACCCTTTAAAACTGTCTTCGATAATAGCATTGTGGCAGTGGCAGCCAAGTAGCCAAGGATCATGGCAGGCATGTCATGAGTTCGAGCCCAGTACCACTAAGACTCGCCATAGAGCGGAGCGTTGCACATTAAATCTACCGAAAGTTCAAACGTCCTCCCGTTGGACTGGTGTGGTAGTTAGGAGAGGGGGTGCCAGCTCAGGTGTCGTCCTCGTCACTTGACCATATTTCAAAATGACGAGGTCCGTCACCCAAAGCCCTCGTGTAGCTAAACAGTGTGATGTAGTTTTCACTCACTCAATTCGATATAAGTATTCCTGAATTAAGGCGGATCATATTTTCAGACAGAAAAATGTCTCAGTTCTCATGAAAATTTACTACATTGTCATACATATGTTAATTATATAGCATTTTTAAAATTTCAAAATATTCTATGAATATTTTTTTTAATTTTAAGGAGTGATATGGGAGAAAAAACGCGAAATACATTTTATGCCAGAAAAAATGAATCAACTCGATTAGAAATGTGAAGTACAATAAAAAAAATGCTTTTCTCTAAAGGATAGTGAAGGCAGAATATAATATTATTTTTTCATTTCTTGTATATCTGCAAAAATATTTCAAATTCGGTTCCTATTCTTTAACATTAATCCAAGACAGCCTTAAAAACATTTATCGGAGTGAAAATTCAAAACGGAATTGAGAGAGAGAGATATTATTATTATTGTTTTTATTATTTTTCATGTATACCAACACCTATAACTTAGTAATAATAATGCAATGATCAAATATGCCTAGCTCTAGCAGCGTGATAAAGTTATAGGAATAAAGCGTGATACTGCAGGGGGTCACTGCAATCGCTTCTGAGAATGCATAAAAACGGAAGCAACGTAATGTAATAGAAACAGTTATAGGATATATTTGTAACAAAACATTACACCAGTGATTCTCAAAGTGCTTTATATAGATCCCTAGGGGTCTATGGCGATCTCCAAGGGGTCTACGTTAGCAAAAAAATAATTTAGGGGTCCGTGAGGTGTAAATGGGGATCTATGACTGTGACTCTTATCAAACCCGATCTTGATTTTAATTTTAAAAGGAAATTCAATCAAATGAAACCAGATTTTACCTATTTAACAGATTTATTTACCAAATTTAACGAGGTTAATTGGATGATGCAAGGAGACAGCATAATTAAATATATTAAATAAGCCTATTAAAATAAGGTCCACATTTCAGCTTTTCTTGTAAGAATTAAGCTAAAGAAGTATAATATTGGACGTCACGAATTTTCCCAGTTTTTTAATTGTCGCAGAGAATCTGCCATGAAAAAGACATTTTAACCTACGTTCAACATTTAAATGTCCATTTTTTTAGATTTTGAAATTAGGGGTTTGATAATTCTTTGACTATGGTAATATCACATTAGACAATCGATTCATGCGGTCGCTTAGGAAAAAAACTGTCAGATTACAAGAATAAGGCACTAACGAAGATCTTAAAATAAAGTTCATCAATTTTGGCTTTAATAAGATAAACCTGTTATTTATCTCAAATAATGGAATCGCTTGCGGAATTTTCTAATTGCTTTTCCAATTTAGGAGATTCAGCACCCATTTGCCAAACTCCAAAACAAAAAAGAAAGAAAAGACTGGACATTATTAACCGAGGGCATATTTAGGGTTAAATCTGACAAGACTGATACGAAATGTTGAAAAGTTATTAAATCCCTATATTCATCCCTCCTTCTAAAATCATTTGTTTGTTGCTCAGTTAATTTATGTAAATTATTTATGCCTTAATTTAGTTTTGATTTAATTAATTAAAACTTTGTTTCTTAAGTTTTAAAAACTGTACTTCACTACAGTTAGAAATTTAAATCTTATAAAGTAAGTAGCTCCGTACCAGCTGTCAAAACAATATTTAAATTGATGAATTTGCAAAAATTCAATAGTAGGTAAGTGGGGGTCTACCAAAAACTGAAAAACCTGGCAAGGGGTCTATGAGGCAAAAAAGTTTGGGAGCCTCTGCACTACACTAACATGAAATAAAATAATCGTATTTTGTAATGTTGTAATGAATCTCGTGAACAGCAAAATTATTCAAGACAGGCCACAAGTGGGCCACAGGTTAGCCACTTCATGTCTGGGAGGGTGAGGAAATTCTTGCAAATGTTGTCTGTTTTGTGAAAAAAATTAATGTGAGGTTAAGACATAAAAAAACGTTTTCAATATTATTTTGTGAAATATACAGATTTCAAACGATTTTCTGGAGTTGAAGGTACCAGTGGGTAGTGTTAAAAACAATCCGGCATTTCTTCTCCATTTTTTTAATCAAGAAAAATAACTCACACCCCAGAATCAATGAACCAAGACATTTTTTTTCTTTAACACATCGTTACTTCTAAAAAGGTAATTACGAGCTTTAGATAGAAGATTTCTTTGTATAGGATTTTTTTCCCCGGATTTTTAAAAAATAGTTTTTTTATTATACTGTGACTCACGGCATACAAATATATTCAATCTGAAGTCACTTTTGGGTACAAGAAATTTCGACACACTGATGTTTGACTGCATACTACGTTTCTCAATTCGCCCTCTTGTACTACGAAATTATTTCACAGTTTCAAAATAGCCATGGCTTAAAAAAGCTTAACTGTTAGAAAATTTTTCCAAATAATTTATAAATTAAATTGAATAAGGAATATTTTTATATAATGATAACATTTATTTATAATAAATAGTGAACTTGGCAAAAAATGTAAAGTAAAATCAAGGGGAAAAATATTTTAAAATTGAGTCTGAATAAATAAAAAAGTTAGGTTGTAGTCGATAGCAAGATATAAAACTAAACCAATGTCTTAAGTAAAACAATTTTTCAAAACATTTATGGTCTTTATTGCACTTTTTGGATAGTACGAGGTTTTCACAGATACATTTTATGGGATTTTTTTTTAAGCGAATATAAATGTTTTAATTAACACTGTCACATAGATAATTCGTAGGATTTGTCCATACAAACCGTCCTTAGTCTCATCCACTACCATATGCAAAAATCCATTCAGTATTAAACATAACTCTTTGGTTAGCCTTTTTTATGTAAATTTTATATGTACATAATAATACAAACGATAGAGCTTTTTCTAATAGCTACAAACACCAAACTTTATAGTATGTGAGCGTGAGAGAGAGTGATATTAACGTCGCAATATTCAGCTACATGAAGGCTTTTGGTAACAGACCTCGTAATTTTGAACCATGTTCAAGTGACAAAGCGACAGCGGAGTTCGTTACCCCACTCCTAACATCCACAGCACACCAACAGGAGGATGTTTGAGCTTCGACAGATTTAGCATGCATCGTCCCACATGGCGGGTCTTCAGTGGTAACAGGCTCGAATTCATGGCATGCAAGCCACGAGTCCGGTACCTTGACCACTAGGGTACCACGGCCGCAGTGGGAACATGAAAAATGTAAGCATTTCATCTTAATCAGAATAACAGACTAAATTTTTATCATTACTTTATTTTATTTGTAAAATATATCATAAAACAATGAGACCCTGTCTCTTATGAAATAAAACAAAAAGATTCGTTGAATTTTGACAAAAATATTTCTCTCGTATTAATGCTTTTTTATGTACAATGATTCAATTAATAAGAGATTAAGTTACATACGAGGTTTGGAACTTCAATAGAGG